AAGGCCACATCCCTCTCTCTCTCTCTCCTCCCCCTGAGTCAACTGGGGAATTGGTTGTGCTGACGTGGCCGTGGAGTGCCAGCCTTCCAGAGGAAGCAGCCATGGGAAAAACATCAGTCCTCATTCTCAACACAGCGGGCTGCCACTGAGCCAAGAATAATCACAAACAAGCTGCCCATTCTGGCAGTGTAAACAGAAACTAGGTAACACTTTGGCAACACCATCACCTCCCGCTAACATCACATTTACACCCACATTCTTCTCCCTGTCTCCGCCTGCCCACAGGATCGGATCTAGTGCAGTGTGTCCGAGTGGCCAGGGACACAACAAAGTGGGTTATGGTGGGAAGATGTGGATAACTGGTCAGGATTGGTGAAAGAGCCGATGGAGAGACTGACCTAACTCCAGACGCAAATCTGCACACATACACAGATGTGCAAGGATGGTAAGGCTATGTTGAGCACCCAGTTTCCTCCTGTTTGAAAAAGGACAGAGCTGGTAACAAACAAACCCAAACAAAAGTGGGACTTCACATGGGTCTTCTAAGGTATACTACAAACAGAGAAAACTATTCAAGCAAAATGATCAGATGTACAAATAAACCTTAAATTAAACGATGAAAATAAGAGAGAGCAGAGAAGAAAAGCTTAGAAAGAGGCTGGCTGGGAAAAGACAAGGGTGAAAACAATAGAGAAAGGCACAGATGGAGACAAGTATGAGACAGGTAGAGAGACAAAGAGGTTTCATATGGGAGCTCTCAATAAGCTCTCAATGGCAACATGATGAACTCGGAGTCTATAAAGAGGGCGCGGGCTTGATTATTAATTACAGCTAATAAATTTTCTCCATCCACAAATAAAGAGGAGAAAGAGGATAGGTGAGGGAAAGCAGACAGCCTAACTGACAGAGGTTAATAATTACAGCCTAGCAAGGGAAAAAGGTTAAGTACTAAACTGTCAATAAAACAGAAATGTACTAACGGCAAGCTACAACCCTAAACTTGATTTTTAGAAATAGCACTGTGGTAAATGGTTGGCACTTTTCGTGCCGAGAGGAATGATCTTCAATCAATTGGGAGGGTAGTAATTTACAATAAGCATATCATTCTATTAGTAGATTACAGAGTCATGGATGTGTACACTCATCCTTAGCCAGGCTGCTTCACCACAGTATGCCCCATTAGCATCCAACCACCACCAATGCAGGCAGATAGAGAGCCCCATTAGCATCCAACCACCACCAATCCAGGCAGACAGAGGAAACAGGCAGTCTCCAATGGTCAGTGTGAAGGACAAGAGCCTGAGGGAGGAAGCGGTGCAGTAAAGAATGGAACATTTTCATAAGAACAGCTATATTTTGGGGGTATTAGTAAACTTTGTCTGAATTTCTGACATTTCAAAGCAACCCCAGTAGCATGAGTGACGTTTACAGGAGAACCATTCGCTTCCAAGGTTGGGCTTATTGCCCAGAACGAGCTGAAGGCCATAACCACAGGGGCCAGATGTGTGTGTGTGTGTGTGTGTGTGTGTGTGCATATTTTTATAGTTATTTATCTGGCTCTGTTCAAGATATGAGGTGTCCACTCTAGTCAACCTCACAAACACAGTGATGCTGATAATTAACCAAACACAAAAACAGCTGAGTGGACTTGGATTCACACTGTTCCAGACATCCCACCCCTGAATAAACTTGGATGAAAAACAAAAAGGTCTTTTTGAACATTCCTCCCTCTCATTATCTTCTATTGTCCTCTATACCTTTCTCTCTCCCACTTGGTATCAACCCAGCTACAGGAAAATGAGTCACAAGCTCAGTCATTCTTAGAGCTACTCACTGAGGAAACCGTGAATGAACTGCACTTGTGTGCGTCCACACACACATTTGTGTACATGTCCCTGGAATTAAATGATGGAGGTGGCAAATATAAAAATAATGTGGTAATGTTGATAGAGTGTCTGATGTTTGCAGTGGGATCATATGAGCCATATGTGATGACTTTTGCTTAAGAGAAGGTGCCTGGGGTGAGGAATCTTACAACAAATCACAACTGTGTGCATGACTTTTGAGCTACAATGTAAACTCAGTGGAAGGCTCTGAATAAACAGAGGGGTGGGAGATGAGAAAGGGGAAAAGGAGGGATAGTGTTAAAGAACATAATGAGAGACAGGATGTACAAAGTAGGGATATGCCTTGTGCAGCTGAAACTCATATTTTCTCTAGTGAAATGGCTCGTTTCTAACTTTCTGGTAAATCTGACAGTTTAGCTACAAATAAACTGGAAATAAAGTTTAAAAAAAAAAATCCATGCCTGGATTTTTGCTCTTTTGGCAAACACTATATATGTATATAAAAAAAAAATCATTTTTGTAATAGCTCAGTTTTTTCCCCCATCCATATCAAATCACCACTGTCTCAGTAAAAACTATTTCTGGCACCATCGTGTGTAAAAACAAATGCAATATGAATGCTGGCCAGGACAGACTGCCTGAAAATGTGTTTTCCACATATTTCAACAATATTGCATTTCCTCTCTATGAAGTCCAGTCACCTCACCTTTGAGTGTGGCTGTACAGATCTGCCTTCCAGCACATGTCACATGGTCTTTCTGAGCACAACCAGACCCAGAAGGTCTCTATTCAATTGATGATACCACGTGAGCTGTTTTTACACATCAGGCCCGGACTTTGTCGAGAGTTGCCCTTTCACAAATGTCGCAAATACTCAGTTTGGTGTATGATAATGATAATCACTTTTATTGGCTGATTATGTTACACACACACACACACACACACACAAGGAATTTGTCTCCGGTACAGAACCGAGGCAGCCATCTGTGGCGCCAACTCTCAAACACACCAATGTCCATGCAAGGCTCTGCTCTGGCCATCGAGAGCAACCTGGAGTCCAGTGTCTTGCCCAGGACATATGGACTGGAGGTAACGGGAATCGAACCGCTGACCTTCCAGTTCGGGGGTGGGTGCTGGGGGCGTACCTAGGTAGAGCACGCAGGAAGCAGGACATGATGCGATCACGTAGCCAGCTTGTAATCTGGTCATAAACAACAGAGTCTCTTCCCTTGTCTGGAGACTCTGCTGCCTGCTGTTAATGACAGAAGTTCCCAAATCTCACCGTGACTCCAATTAGATATTGTCTTTGGTCTCTTCATTGAAAATGACCGTATTTCTTCACTATTGGATGTTTGTTTGGGCGTGTGAATACTCTGGACTATATGCTGCTGTGTCCTCACACGGGCTCACTCCAGCTCACTCGGACATTACGTGGACTTTGTACTAGGGAGCTGTCAGAGTAAAGTCTGCTTAAAGTCCAGGTTGACTGACTCGGACATTTGCGTCCACACATACAGCTCCCCTAGGTTAAGTCTAGACAATTTCAGTGTTCCAGCGCATGTCTGAAAGGGGCTTTGCACTGTTTTCACTCCATCCTAAAATCTCAAACTTGTCTTGAAGAGTTATATAAAAAATAACAAAGGTGGCAGTATAGCTCCTACAAGGAAATTCCAGTAGAATTTTTCTTAAGACGGACTAAACTTGTTTGACATTATGTTTACCACCTCACTGCACGGTGTCAGATGTTCAACAGTGCACGTCCTGCTGCTCAGTTTCTTGCACAGGGGACATGGCAGCCTGAAGTCCCTCTGTCAGAAAACCGACTGAGCACATCTACAGCACCATCAGGAACGACATTAGGTGTTTCACATCTACAGCATTAGAGATAAGGAACAAGTAGACAAATGGGCTTGGTGACCAACAACTAGAGAGAAAAGGCAGGGGGCCCTGGCAACATGGCTTGAAATTGAGCCAGGTGTCTGCACATTGACTCTTCTTAGCTCCCTGTCGAGATGACAGAATGGTTGTCTTGGCTTTTGTGGATGAAGGCACATCTCTATCAGGCTCAATAAGCCCAGTGGAACTAAATCATGCTTTCTGCCATCAACCAGAGACTGAATCATCCAAAGTGATGTGAATCACCAGCAGCAGACTAAGTCAGATAAAGAAGTGGGTCTAATCAACCCAATGGTCCTGATGCTGAGTTACCTCATCACTCACCAAGCTAATCAGGCAGTCTATTGTTTGGCGCCAGTGATATAGCCTTCAGATCTATGCACGCAGACGCTGAGGAAGGCTGACCATAGGAATGCTGGGGGTCCCAGTTAAAGCTATTAGGGCATGTCCACTCACATACACATCTCACCTTGTAGAAAGGAGGATAGGGAGCAGGGCAATGCTAAATTTGCCACTCTAATTAGCCTCCCCCACTAATGGCCCCTCCTCCAAGGCAGATACCAAAACAGGCAAATGCCTCTTATAAACTGCATTTTACAAGACTGACTGTTCTTATTAAGCAGACTGCCCTGCGCTAACATGTAGCAATTATGCACATCCAGCTGCTAAAAATACATGACTGAATACACAAACCAGTGTGGGAAGGAGCAAATTCTGAAAAAAAATAAGTGTAAACCAGATCTCCCTGGCTTTGTAAGTGTGTCACACTGTTCCTGTCTGTACAGACCAGGGTTAGTTAATGAAAGCATGCATACGCACAACAGGCACTTAAGTGAACAGGGATAGTCTGTTGTTGTGAAAGCATAAAAAACCAAGCCAACCAACCACATGTTCAAGCCTGCACTCACAAACACACACACTCTTCTTTCTCCCTCCTTGCGCTGAAAACGGTGAGTCATCCCTCTATTCACGTCACAAAGAGATGAGTGCACCCTGTGACAGGCCAGTTAGTAGCAGTCACACTGATCTATGTGGCACCTCTCAGCTCTTTGTTTCTCTTCTGATGGAGAGACTATGTATGCTTGCTCCCCATTAGGAAGGTTTACTCAGCTCATAATAGGAGCCCAGTGTGGGAGTTCAGCCAGGCAGGAGTATGAAGAAGAGCCCCTGCGTGAACAAACTGTATGATGGGTTCCTGCTTCAGCAGCATCACTTAGTCACTGTTTTTTTTTTTTTTTGCTTCTTTGTGATCTAAACCTGGATGCCTGAGGTCTACTGCTCAGACCTACTGTCCTACTGTTGATTCATATATGTCACAAGACACAGTCAAAGGCTAAATGCAAGAAATACCAGTGTTTTCAACAGTGAGACAATAAGCACTAGTCTGCACATGGGTCATTAGATTCATGCTAAAATGGGGAGCACCTACCTGCGTGGTCACGAAAGGTAGCAACCATTATACATTCACAAACCTTTATTATGCTGGCATCCTTTAGTTTTCTTTATTAGAATAAACTGAATATGTAAGAGGAGAGTGGCTTTGAGCTGACAGAAATGTCATGGAGGGATGTCATGCAGCAAGCCATAAACAAAGCAAGTCATTTTCAGATCGATGTTTTCCCGGGCAACTACATTTTAACATAATCGTTTACAATTATGGCCCCACAACTCTACCTCCTGCAACTACTCCAGCTGTCTTCCATTCACAACGTCAGCCTCGTGTTGGAACCAGGCTTCATTGTTGCTGTCACAAAGCCAACGCAATCACCAGCAATTGAAGAAAAAGGAAATGACTGTCATCAGGACAAATGCGAATGTGTAACACATCTTACACAAACACTGCCATTCTGCTCTAACTGCTCTACCAACACACTGTAATTAGACCATGTGTTTATTTTACATTATGATAGTCTATCAGTTCACAGTTCATTTTATCATCTGTCAAATTAAGCGGGGAAAGCAGCGTGCCAAATGACATTCGGGTAGCAAAGCTGATTAGGGGAAAAATGATTAGAAATTTTTGGGCAGTCTGGGGAAAAAAAAAAAAACACAATACAGTGGTGACACATTCTGTGACTGTGCTGTAATGAAAAGTCAATATCCTAGTTACTGTTTAAAAAAGGAATACAGTAGCTCAAATCATAAATGAAGAGGATTTACATTTCTGGGATCCAGCAGCATTTTGCATATCCATCTTTATCTTCTACATAAATTGTATATTATTCATCATGTCTGTATATATACAGCATTTCATTTAACTCATTTTTACATAGTTCTATGCATAAGCAAGTGTGATCTGAATCAGAGTAATGAAGCTTGATTGGCTTTGTGTCTCTTAAAAACATCTATTTTGGTTTAACACATATCAATGCTCATACATACAGTGATACTGGCTGGAACCATAAGATGCAATTATATCACCGAGCCAAATGGGACCTGTGAGACATGACCGTCATCTTGTTGTCATATCTGCTGAAACACGTCAGTGCATCACTGACAACCGGCCCCCTTTTTCACTGCACATGCTGAAAAAAGCTGAGTGAACTCAGATGAAGGTGACTTCTTGACATAGAGGTTAAGTGAAAATTTATCCCTCTTTATCTGATTTTGCTTACACTGATGATGATCACACTTTATTTACATTGCTGTTAATTATCTACATGTAGAGAAATGGAGGTCTCATCTGATTTTTTTCCTATAACAGGGTTAGTACATTTCAGAGAAGAACAAAAAAAAGACATTTATGCACATTTTACTAATTAGCCAAAGCTGTAGTAAATATACAGTGCAAACCTCTTCTCTATTTAAACCAAAGTAACTGCCCAAAATTCTGATTCCAAGCAGATTTTTTGTTGAGAAAACCAAAATCAAAAAAAATATTTGTTGCATTATTTACAGTCTCATAGCGTTCCACAGATGTGGGGCTATAAGTAGGAAACAAAGCATTTTAAAGGAGCCATACATTTCTGGGAGCTTTTTTTCAGCAGCCCTGTGAAAAGTGTAGCCAAGAAGACATCTGTCTTGCAGCTGTAATACCCTAAAACCCACACAGTGACAATATGTTGTCTGCTCTCTTGGGTCCAAACATAATTACATGGATAATAAAATGTATATTTTGGGACCACCTTATCTTTTATGATTGCACTGTTCAACAACTTGCATTCAAATCCAAAAATCACACTGGAAAGATATACTGTAATAACAGAACAGCTTACCTGTGATACACTGAAACTGACCATCCTCTCGTCGAATAGTGAAGGCCTCACCTGGGTTTACCTGCACCAGGATTACCTGTGGTGAAACAAACAGAAATTACCAAGTGTAAGAAGACCTCTGGAAATTTTCCTCCGTGACTCTGGTGTGAACAAAAATGGAAACATTCCTGTAAAAAGCAGGCAACTACAAAAATTGTTTGGTGCTACACCAGTAATGTAGTCACCTGACAATCACTAAAAAAAAAAAAAAAAAAAAAATCCAATCCTGTCTCTCCACTGAGTGCTTTACTGCAACAGGTATATAGATTACACCGGCAGAGGCAGCTACAAGCAACTGAAATAAGATGGCCCCATTAAAACACAAAGCTGAAGTGGTGGTCCAGTATACCTGCGGTTGTGAATTTAGCTGGGAGACAAACAATGATGAATTATTACATGCCATGCCTGGACAACTCAATCCATAAGCTGTATGAGTGTTAAATGTAACACACAAGCAAAGTAGCTCAAGCAAACTGTTTGGAAGTAGCGTTGTCAAAAATATCGCTTCTGGAAATTTGAAAAAGTTTCAATACTCGTTTCCTGTAGCACTGATACACCAATACCAGCTGCGCTTTCTCTGCTCATTACAGATGACAAGTGCAGAGCCTCCGTGACCAGTTTTGGTTGACAAAGAAAACATAATCTTTAATGATGCTTTAGAGCAGGGGTGGGCAATTAATTTTTAAAAGGGGCCACATCAGAAACCTGAACTGTGTTGGAGGGCCGAACCAATGATAACTTGAACTTAATTCTGCTGAATATTCATTCTCTCTCATTGTAAAAAGCAGTAAATTATATGTGTTGATTAGCTGCTATACTGGTAATCAGAAGAATACGCATATTCTATAAATATTTATATAAATATATGAAATTGTGATGTAGGTCAAAATGGAAAATACTCCTATAGAAGTAATAAACAGTAAAAACAAAAACAAATATTATATCACAGTTCCATTTTATTTTCAACTTCACATAACACTGAAAAGGTGTTTATTGCAGCATGTTAAAGATGTGCATTTTCAGTTTATTTTACTTGTTCAGTGCATTGAAATCTGGATTTGTTGAACTTCATCACTGAGAATATCTGTTCACATATGTAGGTAGATCGAAAGATTTCCTGCGATGTCCTCAACCCTCCTCGTTACAGTGCGTCGGGAGAGGGGACGTTCTCATATGCGCCCTTTTTTCTCCGGGCATGTTAGTGCTGCAGAGTCCAACAAACACTAAATTAATAAACTCGCCGTCAGAAAACGGCTTATTTTTTCTGGCGATTTTGTGGGATATGACATAACTTGTCCTGAAAGCTGCATCTCTGGCAGTGACGTGCGGTGAGGTTGACAGCTGGTGAGGCACTGACTCTTTTACAGTCAGATTTACATACATACATTTAAATACAAATTGTCTGTTAGACAATGCGTTATGTTTTATATCTCATATCAGCATTCTTCACACAAACGTGACCCATATTTA